CATTTAAAAAATTGGCCATGACCTTCATATTACCTTCAAAATAAAGTCAAGGTCAAAAAGTTATCGTCATATGATTTCCCCTTTCATACAGAACAACTTATATTTGGATCATTTTTATGTCAAATGATGAAACCATTTTCGAGGTATTCGCTTGTTTCTAGTTAAATTGACCACCCTGTATAGTCGTGTTTCGTAAGTGGTGATTTAAGTAGTTTAAAAGGACACATTCAAATTGTTGAATTGTCATTTTTAACTTCAAATTAATGTTTGAACTAAAACGTTAAATTCAAAATTTCATTTCGAACCTCAAACATCAAATTCCAAGATATTTAAAATGTCAAAAATAAGATTTCTAAGCGATTAATTCAAATTTAATATTTCAAATTTTAGAATGTGCCCTAAAGGGATACATTCAAAATGTTGAAATGTCATTTTTAACTTCAAACCCATCGTTTTAAAAAATTAATATTTTATTTAAAACGTTGAAATCAACGTTTGATATAAACCTTTAAATTCCAAGATATCATTAAAACGTCGAACGCAACATTTCGAAATGACGGTTGAAGCGTTTAATTCGTAATTTCGAATTGACATAAAGCGGTATATTCGAAATTTTAGAACGTGGCCTAAAGGGACACATTCAAATTGTTAAATTGTCATTTTTAACTTCAAATTAATGTTTCAACTAAAACGTTAAATTTAAAATGTCATTTCGAATCTCAAACGTCAAATTCCAAGGTATTTAAAATGTCCAAAACAAGATTTTAAAGCGATTAATTCATAATTTCAAATTGATGTAAAGCAATTTTAGAACGTTTCCTAAAGCGACAAGTTCACAATGTTGAAACGTCAGTTGTAATTTCAAAATGTCATTTAAAACATCGCAAGTAATATTTAACAGTATATAAATTACATCTTTTATATTTAACAACATAATTTTCTTATGTTTTAGACCACCTAAAATAATTATCCAGATTTAACAGATTACACCGACTGAATAAATAAATAAATAAACACAACAGAGTACTCGGTAATTCGTGACGCATCGCTTTGGGTCGATTCCATTGAGTATAGGAATACTTATAATAGACGAAACGAAATCCAATAAAGGGACATAAATAACTGACGACCGCAGCCAACACATGTTGAGTTACCCACCCTTCCAAAAACTTTTACTCCGTGAATAGAAAAATAGAGAGGATCAAAAAGAAAGAGAGATCAATACCTACCCCACCAACAAAAAGGAACAAATCTTTAGAGTGTCGATGGCAGATACTACAACAACTTGTATTGAGGGTGAGAGTGTGCAGATTATCGTTCTTCAGGGTAATCTTTTCCCCCATTTTCGGACGATGATTAAGTTTTTAAGGGAAAAAAAGAATTTATTTAATTTAGTTCATTTCAATAACATCCGTAGTTTTAGACTCTTTAATCTCCAAAGGTTCCTCGCGAACTTCCTCTTCTTGGCACCGATCGGCCAAAGAAATTTCATGCAACAACCGATTATTCTCCTCCTCCAACGCTTTAATACACCTCTCATTATCAACAATAATCTTTTTGTATTCATTATGAATCTCGTGCCGAGTCGCAACCGCATCATTCAAAGTCTTTTCAGTTTCCCGCACGCTCACGCATTTCTTATGCAACCCCAAAACAGCCTCCATTTTTTGATTCTTCCGATACTCCAATTTCAAATCTTTCCTTAACGCGTTCGTTTCGACGATTAACGCCGAATTTTCTTCGACCAATTTTAATTTGTCCATAATCGAAGAGGATGTTTTATTGATTTGGGTTTGTAACGATTTGATGGTTTTTTCTAAAAAGTCGCGTTGACGTAGAAATTCGTTTTTGGCATCGCGATCTTCCGCCAACATAATTTCGAAGTCTTTATCGGTGTTGTAGGTGTGATACATTTCTTTGACTGCTTTTTGTAGTTTTGGAACGTCTTGGATTAAACCGCTCGCGTGGTGGATGTCGTTTCGAATTTTTTTTAAGGCTGCTTTCGCGCAACGATTTTTGGTTATTTCGCGTTTGATTTCGAGGTCGGCTGCTTTTAATTTTTCGCGTAATTCGCGTAATTGGACGTCTAAGGAGAGGATGATTTTTTGTAAGTTTTCTAATTCGTTGACCATTTCGGTGATTTGTTCCATTTGTTCGCGGATGCGGCGTTCTCTCGGCTCGATTTGCGATTTTAATTCGTTTATTTTGAAGTCTAAAATGAATTTGAATTTTTCTAGTTCTTGGTTGCGGCGTTTTAATTCGAAGATTCGTTTCTCTTTGTCTTGTATTGTTGAATCGCGCTCGGCGATTTCTTTTTTTAAATCGAGCATATCTTTTTCTAAGTTTAATATGATTTGTTTTAATTTTAATTGTTCGTTTTGTTGGGTGTGTACCGCGTGTTTTAAATCATCGATTTCTTTTGATGCCGCTGTTAATTTCTTTTTAACAGTTTGCGCTTCACCTTTTAGCCGAATATTCGCGTCTTGTTCCGCGGTTAATTGTGTTTCATAGTTTATTTTAAGATCGTAAATTTCTCGATCTGCATCATCTTCGATTTGTTGCTTAATTATTTCGTGTTCTTTCGATCGTTGTCTTCCCTCTTCTTGCAACTCCTCCAATTGGACTTCTTTCTCATTCAATTTCTCAACGAACGAATTAGTTATATTCGCCTCAGATTCCTTTTTGCTCACAATTAATTCCTCGATTTCAAGCAAAAATCTCACTCTCATCTGTTCCATTTTTTGTTCCAACTTGAGATATTTCTCGTATTCGTTAATAAGTTTTTCGTTATAACTATTTTCTAATTTTTGAATGTATTCTTCGTGATTGTGTTTCATTTTCATGATTTCTTCGTTAATCGTGTTGATTTCCGTGAAATGGTCTCCCTCTAAAGCTTCGATTTTCTCTTTTAATTCTTCGATGGCGTTGCAGTAGCCTTCGTGGACGTTTTTGATGGCTGCGTTATGTAATGTTTCGATTTGGCGCATTTGATACGCGTGTTCCGTTTCTAATTCGTGCATTCTTAATTGTAAGTCGCGAATAAAGTTGAGTTTTTCTTCTAAATCGACTTTTGGAATTAGAATTTCGGTTGAAGGTGAGAATTCTTTGTCGAGTTTAATTGCTTTTCCTTCGATGTTTAATAAACGCCAAATACAAATGATTCCCTCCCTTGAAGCTGTTATTATAAAACGATCATCGTAAGTTATTTCCATCTAAAAAGAAATAAAAAATAGTTTATACATCAAATATTTAATTCTAAAAATTAGTAACCTAGCAGAATGAAAGAAGATTATGTTGAGAGACCATGCAAAAAATTGATCTATCAACATCGTTCTGAATATTTGTGATCAACATCTATCTCATTTTTTGCATGGTCTCTCAACATAATCTTTGATACTCTTTAACACTGTTCCTAAACATCTCCCACATCATCCATCAACATTTTCAACATCCCTAACATCATTCAATCGTCTTATTATCATCTTTCCCATCGTTCCTAGCCTTCCACGACGTATTTTCAATATCTTTCTAGCTATCTAACAGCATAGGCCTTGATATCCTCCAACATCGCCCTTGATGCCCCATTTCCAGTTCTCATACATTAATGACACTTCTTTTATTAAATATTGGTTACTCAAATAGGGTCAATAAATCCAAAACGAATGTAAGTCAAATTATGTCACTCAGCAACATACATAATGGACACCTGTAGATATTCTTCAATATCGACTATAATATCTCTTTACATATTTTTTGACAAATTTTGATTTACCTTTCAACACCACCTTACGCTCTTCATCGTGTATATCGATAAACATTATAATCGGTCTTCATCAACATCGTCTATGACATTTCTCACAACTTTTAGTAGTCTCTCTATTATACATCTTTAATGTTATTATTATTTTCTACCTCAATATTTTCATCTACATTATTTATGGCATAAATCAGGTATTCCTCAACTTCCTTCATGATCCTCATCGGTGATATCTCTCAACACCCTTCATGATTGAGGACTTCATGCTCCTCAACAACAGAAATGTGATAAATTCATCTACTTGCTCTACACTTTCTGTTTAATCACCAGTATTTTTATCGTTTTCAATCTTCTATGACATCCTTACAATACGCTTAAATTCAAAATGTCATTTCGAACCTCAAACATCAAATTCCAAGATATTTAAAATGTCAAAAACAAGAAACTTCAAATTGACGTAAAGCGGTGTATTCGAAATTTTAGAACGTTTCCTAAAGGGATACATTCAAATTGTTGAATTGTCATTTTTAACTTTACATTAATGTTTCAACTAAAACGTTAAATTCAAAATGTCATTTCGAATCTCAAACATCAAATTCCAAGATATTTAAAATGTCAAAAACAAGATTTCTAAGCGATTAATTCATAATTTAAAGCCGTATATTTCAAATTTTAGAATGTGCCCTAAAGGGATACATTCAAAATGTTGAAATGTCATTTTTAACTTCAAACCCATAGTTTTAAAAAATTAATATTTTATTTAAAACGTTGAAATCAATGTTTTATGTAAAACTTTAAATTCCAAAATATCATTTAAAACGTCGAACGCAACATTTCGAAATGACGGTTGAAACGTTTAATTCATAATTTGGAATTGACATAAAGCGGTATATTTGAAATTTTAGAACGTTTCCTAAAGGGATACATTCAAATTGTTAAATTGTCATTTTTAACTTTAAATTAATGTTTGAACTAAAACGTTAAATTCAAAATGTCATTTCGAACCTCAAACATCAAATTCTAAGATATTTAAAATGTCAAAAACAAGATTTCTAAGCGATTAATTCATAATTTAAAGCCGTATATTTCAAATTTTAGAATGTGCCCTAAAGGGATACATTCAAAATGTTGAAATGTCATTTTTAACTTCAAACCCATCGTTTTAAAAAATTAATATTTTATTTAAAACGTTGAAATCAATGTTTTGTCTAAAACTTTAAATTCCAAAATATCATTTAAAACGTCGAACGCAACATTTCGAAATGACGGTTGAAACGTTTAATTCATAATTTCGAATTGACATAAAGCGGTATATTCGAAATTTTAGAACGTGACCTAAAGGGACACATTCAAATTGTTGAATTGTCATTTTTAACATCAAATTAATGTTTCAACTAAAACGTTAAATTCAAAATGTCATTTCGAATCTCAAACGTCAAATTCCAAGATATTTAAAATGTCAAAAATAAGATTTCTAAGCGATTAATTCATAATTTCAAATTGACGTAAAGCCGCATATTTCAAATTTTAGAATGTGCCCTAAAGGGATACATTCAAAATGTTGAAATGTCATTTTTAACTTCAAACCCATCGTTTTAAAAAATTAATATTTTATTTAAAACGTTGAAATCAATGTTTTGTCTAAAACTTTAAATTCCAAAATATCATTTAAAACGTCGAACGCAACATTTCGAAATGACGGTTGAAACGTTTAATTCATAATTTCGAATTGACATAAAGCGGTATATTCGAAATTTTAGAACGTGACCTAAAGGGACACATTCAAATTGTTGAATTGTCATTTTTAACATCAAATTAATGTTTCAACTAAAACGTTAAATTCAAAATGTCATTTCGAATCTCAAACGTCAAATTCCAAGATATTTAAAATGTCAAAAACAAGATTTCTAAGCGATTAATTCACAATTTCAAATTGACGTAAAGCCGCATATTTCAAATTTTAGAATGTGCCCTAAAGGGATACATTCAAAATATTGAGGACTTCATGTTCCTCAACAACAGAAATGTGATAAATTCATCTACTTGCTCTACACAACTTTCTGTATAATCACCAGTATTTTTATCGTTTTAAATATCATCATCTTCTTTATCACTTATTAATATTATCCTTGATATCTTTGGCGTTCATCAACATTATTTATGGAATTCCCCCAACATTGTTCCTGACATTTTCAAATATTATGATTTATGATATATTAGGTAATTCTCAACCTCTCTGAACACTCTTCTTGATATCCTCCAACGTAGTTGCAACATCATTATTGTACTTCCTCAATGTTGTTGCAAATTTTTTATCTGTAATTTTTCAACACCTTCTATGACATCCTTACATTACGCTTGATATCTTTCAGTATAATCTCTGCTTTCTTTAGTCCTATCTAGGTCTTTTTTAACATTTTTCTTGACACATATCAACATCGTCCTTATTGCTTTATACCCTCTTCAACAACATCCTTGATGTTAGTTACTCAACATCCTCTACGACAGATTTCTATATTATCTCTAACATTTTTTAGTAATTAGCAAACAACATTTTGATAGACAACATCGATACTTCAACAAGAGACTTCAATAACATCGATGTTTCTCGAAAATATAAATATTTGATGAATCTGTAGCTTTTTCAAGTTATTAAAGGTAACACTAGAGAATCGGAGCATGTTATAAAAAAACTTTTATAACAAAAGTTGTAGCAAATTTTGTACTTAGCAATATTGCTTTCTTGCACTTTTGCTCTCAGATGCATAAATATTGAGAAAAATACGAAATTATGAAAATTTTATGAATTTCGTTGTTTTGAATGTACTTCATGGTAGCACTTGGATATCGGAGCAGGTTACAAAAAAGTTTTAAAATAAAAGTTGTAGCAAATTTTATACTTAGCAATATTGCTCTCTTATACTTTTGCTCTCAGATGCATAAATATGGAGAAAAATACGAAATTATGAAAATTTTATGAATTTCGTTGTTTTGAAAGTACTTCATGGTAGCACTTGGATATCGGAGCAGGTTACAAAAAAACTTTTAAAACAAAAGTTGTAGCAAATTTTATACTTAGCAATATTGCTCTCTTGTGCCTTTGCTCTCAGATGCATAAATATGGAGAAAAATACGAATTTATAAAAATGTTATAAATTTGTCGTTTTTTCAAGTTATTAAAGGTAACGTTTAGGAATCGGAGCATATTATGAAGAAACTTTTAGAACAAAAGTTGTAGCAAATTTTATACTGAGCAATATTGCTCTCTTGCACTTTTGCTCTTAGATGCGTCAATATCGAGAAAAGTACAAAAATATGAAATTTTGATGAATATGCTTTTTTTTGCTATTAAAGGTAACATTCGAGAATCGAAGTATGTTATAAAGAAACTTTTAGAACAAAAGTTGTAGCAAATTTTATTGTTAACAATATTGCTCTCTTGCACTTTTGCTCTTAAATGCGTCAATATCGAGAAAAGTACAAAAATATGAAATTTTGATGAATTTGCTTTTTTATGCTATTAAAGGTAANAAAAGTGTCAAACCTCTTCCATTTGACGTTTATCGTTTTGTTGTGTCACAGCCAGTCACACCGTTATGTTTAAAAATGTGTTGTTTCGTGTGCAAAGTTCGCGATAATACAGTTTCACATCACCTGTAAGTATTATAAATGTTACTTCTAATTGATAGTTTTTTATCTTAATTAACGCACGCCCATTATATGTGAGTACGCTTCTATGTCTATCTCGGTTCGATCACCTTGCGCAAGCTATCTCTCTCGTTGGCTCAATCCATATTTATTGAAAATAAAATTAATGCAAAACTAACGCAAATTAGAAACATCGTTAAAAATCGTTTTTTTGACAATGACATTTCGCGTTGTGCTTACAAGTTACAATTGCCAACCTAAAATTAGTCCATAAAAAATATTAAATTTACTTTGTAATTTTATAAATATTATTTCAAAAGCTTAAATGCGATTTTTGATGCGTTAATTGTTTCAAAAACGAAGCGATTTTTTAATTATTTCAAGGTTGGTCTTGTCAATTTAGAGGAATATGAGACTAACATAACCTCAAATCGCATTTTTATTTAAAATTATCTATATAATTATGGTTAAATAAATCGTTTTTGATGTATTACGTCAATAATAACTGTGGAGAAGTCGTCTTTCTTGATGAAGACGTTCGAGTAACTTGATGATACAACTGACAGCAAGAAAATTAAAGTTTAAAATAGATTTGCTATCAAAGTCAGTATGACTTGAATGAAAAACCCTTACCAAAACATATTGCATAAGATGAAAGGAATCCTATTTAGTTCAACGATTACATTGAGTTAAAAGCAGCTTTGTAGAAAAAGATTTAAATTTTGCATTTGCAATTTTGGAGGATTAAGATAACCATAAATTGAGTGCTTAAGATACCTTAACACATGTTACTCGTTATGTAAATCATCTAATTCGGATTTAATTTATCCAAATAATTCTAAATTTATTTAGGTTTCAAAATATTTTCGAAAACGTTTTAAAATAAGGTTATTTTATTTTGAATAAGGTTTTCGATTTCGTTTTGAGTTTAATGCGGGTTAGATTTAAATTAGAATAAATAAATAGCTTACCTTCTTGTTCTGCCATGATTTCTCGTAACCTCGCTCTGATAATCTTTCTATCCTCGTAATCAGAACTTTGTTCCAACTATGGAAAAAAAAGTCAATTAAAACAAAATTTATTACACCGAAAAAGGTCTCACCAATAAATTTAAAGTTTGTTGATCCCAAACTGTTTTTAATAACTCGGGAGTTATGGGATGTGTGAAAGTCCTGGTGATCGTTTTGGGTGCTTGTCCACTTTCCTTGTAAAAAAAATTAATTTTGCAATAATTAATTAAAAGTGATTTTTGTGATATATAATTTTGCGCGATTTTTTCAAGGTCACGAATTTCGCACATCCAAAATAGGCCAGGTTTGAGAAAATCCGAAATTGTTGCGTGCGCAGATTTACGCGTTGCGCTCCACTTTGGGGCCCGACCCGGTTTGTTCGTTATTTTCAGTCGGATGACTTAACAGTCCAGGACCGCCGAAAACCCCGTCTGAAATTCAGTTCCGTGTGCCGAACATCTACCGGCATCTGGCCACAATCGTTATGATGTAATTTCATTTCAACAAAGAAAAACAAAACCAAAGACATTCAATAATTACTTATATCAAACTAAATAATTAATTTTTTCTAAATCATTTTTAAATTCTATTTGTTTTAACCGACGTTGTTACGTTTGTTTATTTTTACAGTTTCTCGCTCATTCAAAAATGGTTTATTTTAAAACATAACTTCAAAATCGAGTTAATTTTTTCGCTTTTAGTTTCAACTAAAACTTCCAAAAACGTTGCCAACACAAGTATAATGTACCGAGGGGAACATTTATTTTCATATACTATCATCGTTCGAAAATAACTTCGTATTCTATAGCCAAGGTAAAACAGTTTTTACATAAAAAAGTAAATCTAAAAATAATTTTTTTAGGGTTAAAAATAAATAAATTAAATTAAAGCAAACTAAAAAGGAATCAAAATGTTTTAAATACATAAAAATCTTAAAACAACCATTAATTCATTAATCCACAACATTCTTTTACCTTGTTTCAATGAAAATCAAATCGATGATTTATCCAAAAAAAATCTTAATCGATTTGTTTATAAAAGAAATAAAACTTAAATGTTTTATAATAATCCGTATTTAAAAAGGGGCACTCGACTCTCTTCACCGGTGGTGCACACAGCACTGAGCGGCGTCTGCAGCACGTCACGACGTCTATTTTAACCCAAGCCACTGTTCACAAATGGATAGAGAGCCGGCCACTATGGCAGTTCATTGTGACAACCGTTTTTAGCGTAAATCCGTTCTAATTTCGACCCCTAAGTCGCAATTTATGAACAGAAATAAACCCCCACACATTTAAAATGCGACTTGTTTATCGTAAAAATATTTCTTTTCTTATAATTTTGACGAAACATTATCAACAACAATTAGATTTAGACCACGTTTTTTATTCCCTAATCTTTGTTTAGTCAAATCTCTAAAAAACACAAAGAATAGGACATTCTTTGTGTTTTTATATTTCTTTTGTGTAGTATAAACGGAAACAAAAACACCTTAATTTAAATAAGTCGCAGATTTCCTTTTGTAACAACATAAAGAACATATATTTACCCAATCTATTTTGATATACTTACTTTAAACGTTTAACCTTCGATATAAGCCGTGAGTTTTTAAAATAGAGTTATCGTCCGTTTTTTCTTCCCAAATAAAGGCAAACCGGCTGTGTTTTCACAAGGGACCAAACGTGCCAAATAAAATATTGTGCCAAACAACCTTTGAGCTCTCATTTCAAATCATTAAATCTTTTTTAACCGCGATTCCAACATTTTAACACATTTTATCGTACTTTTTAGACGTTTCAAACATAACCTATAGAAAATTGACTTACCGACACGCTCGTGGTGATTTTCGTGACAGTTCGTTTAGCGCCATCTTGCGACGATTCGATTCCGGATAAAAGAACTTGCGAACCGATGAATTTATTTAAAAGATTTCTCGCTTCGATATCTTCAATCGTTTCTCCTTCAATATCTAAATACCACGCAAATGATTAATTAATAAAGGTTAAAAAATTAGAAAACTGACCTTCGTTTTTCATGCGGGTAATCACATCTTGCACGCCGGTAACTTTGGAGTGGTCGGTAAGGAAGGTTTCTGTTCGTGTTCCCGATGTTTTGATTGTTTTTGTTGTACTTTGTGCATAACCTATAATTGTAAACGATTAAAATTTGATTAAAATAATTTATTTTTAGTACCCGGAGATGTTTCTCTACTACTTCCGGATTTAGGCGATGGGCTTTTTGTATCTTTGAAGCTGGATGAGCGCAAAATTAATCCTGCCTTGGGGAAGGACGATTTACGTTCACTCTTCAATGTTTCAACTATTAATTAAATAAACATCATAATAAGTACCATGATAAATAAATAAATATTTTTATACCCACCAGCATTTTCAATAAATTTCTGCGAAATTTCTTTGACTGATCCCCTTCTAGTAACTTTAGAAGTTTTCGAAGATTCTTCAATTTCAACACCCTTATTTTTTATCGTTTTTAAAGATGGTGTGCCTTTATAACCGAATTTTTGGGTCGTTGTGATGGACGATATCCCCTTTTCAGTTTTAAATTCTTTATTTTCAAGATCTTTAGGGTCTGAAGAATATTTCGTAACGCTGACTTCGCCGATGGGTTCTTGACCGTTTTCGGAATAATATTGGCTTTGAATTACCGTACCTTGAACTTCAAAACGTTTAATCGTTATAAAATAAGAAAAATTATAAATTTAATATTTACCTTTCACTTTATCAGATTTATTCTGCGCCCTCAAAGCCTTTAATCCAAAAAGAGGAGTGCCGTTCTCATCTAAAGGTCCAACTCCGTAACTTGAAGTGATTACATCGGTGATTTCTTTACTCGGACTTTTTTCTGTTCGATTTGAGATACTTTTTTTGATTGCGATTGTGGTTCTTTTAATCGGGGTGTTATCGGAAACCTTTTTTAATGTTTTTTGGGTCACCCATTCGGGTTTTTCATCAACGACAATCTTTTGAAGTGGTTTGGTTTTCTTTAATTCCGTTTGGAATACTTTTTTCGTCTCATTTTTTGCGTCACCTTTTTCGGGAGATTTTCTTAATTTCTCGGTAGGACTTTTACTTCTTCTCGTAGAAGATACTTTCTTCGTTGTGTACTCTTGTTCCGATTTCTCCACAAAACTCGAAGAAGAAATAGTTTTTGTTTTTTCAATACTCGTCGAACGCCTTCTATTAATTAAATGATCGGTTTTGGTTATATTTTGATGCGATTTGATTTTTTCTTCTTCAATCATTTTTTTAACAATTCTAATTTGTGCTCGAATCCTTCTTCTGATATCATAACCAACGATCGTTTCCAATAACTTTTCCAAATATTTTAAATCGAAAATTTCCTCGATTTTTAATTCGTTTAATTCGTCTTGTTTTTCGTTAACTCTTTCAATTTTTTGAGTAGAGATGACCCTCCCAGAATCGGTCCTTCTTAAAGTAACCCCAAATTTGGTCGTTCTCGAATCAATTTCTTCAACTTGATGAGTTGAAGAAGTACTTCGAGTCATGATATCCTCCAGTTGTTTAACATTTTCTTTATGGGGGCTACGCTCCCTTAAAGAACGATCCAAAGGTAACATATAATGAGGAATATCTTCATCGATTTCCTCCTGTTGAGAATCGATATTATCTTTTTCATCGTCATCATCAGGTTTAATTGATTTAGGTTTAGAGTGTTCTCTAATCGTTCGATCTAACGGTGTCATGTAATGAGGAATTTCTTCATCATCATCATTGAAATCTTTCGGTGTTGGTTTTGATTCTTTAATTTGATTTGGTTGCGCATTTTTTCTTCCCTCAAAAACTGATGGTCGATTCAATATATCTCTTTGCACCAAAATTTCTTGTTCTTTATTGATATTTTCAAACAAAGCTTTGGCTTTTTTGATCGTTTCCGTCGATCTTAACCTACCGGTTGGACTCAAAACAATTTTTGGTTCATCACTCGATGATTTCCGACTTGTTTTTGGGGTTGTCTCAATCTCCAAACTTTCTTTCCGCACCGTTTCTTTTTTAGTAGTCGATTTAAAGCTATCTTCACGTTTTAATTGACATTCCCTAATTATTTCTTCTTTTCTAGGTGATGGACTACGCGCTTTTATTACTTTCTCAGGCGAAGGAGTTCTTTCCGCTTTAATTTTAATTTCTGTTTTAACTTCAGGCTTTTTAACCTTTTCAGCCGTTGCAATAAAATGAGATACTTTCTCTGAAACGCTTAAAAGAGACTCATCATTTTCATCGACGTTATAATCTTTTTTCGTTTCTTTATCAATTTTACTTGATTTCGGTTTAGTTAATTCCTCAGCTGTTGTAATAAATTTAGTGACTTTATCAGATACGCTTAACATGCAATCATCTTCTTCGATATCAATTTTTTCTTTATTTAATAAAGATTCAACTTGAATTTCGGTTATTTTGCTTTGAAAACCTTCGACGTCTTCGTTAATGATTTCTTTAAGCTCCCCAGGTAGTGTTTTAATGTCTTCTGGTTCTGTAATTTTATCGGGATATCTCGGCATTGAGAACTCCTCGATTGTAACGGGATAAGGGCAAATTCTATCCGGGGTTCCTTCTCGTGATGATTTCGAACGTTTTAGATCAACGATAATTTCCCTTTCATCAGCGACAGCGTTTTCGATTAAAATCGATTTGGTTGTGATACATTTCTTTTCTTGTTTCGCAACTTTTTTCTTGGTTTTTTCATAAATTTCTTCTTCTTGATCGGTTTCTTCTTCATCGCTCGGCACGTGATGGCCGTTCGTTAAAGGTAGTTTTTTCTGATTCACTTTTGGAACCGTTTTAGACGTCATTTTTGACGTTTCAGTATTTTTAGGTTTTATTTTTTGAGGTTGACTTGGCAAAGAGGAATTTACAGTTTTTGTTATCGTTGTTTTATGAATCGTTGTTGGTGTTTTCGGTTTTAAATTAATGATAGTTGAGACAACGTGGCGATTTGAAGGAACAGCTTCGATGGTTTTTTGCAAAACCGTTCTCGTGATCTTTGTTGATGAAGAAGGAATCTTTTGATTTATTTTTTGGGTTGTTTTCTTGGGTGTAACCTCGATTTTTGGAGTGGTTAAAGTGACTTTAGCCGTTGTTGTAACCCGCTTTTTAGGGGCTGCTTCAATTTTAGTTGTTTTTGTTAATTTCTCAGTGATTTCAGGTTTTTTATTATACAACGTTTTTTCAGGTTGATCTTTTTTCACTATTTTATGCGGAACATCTGGGATTCCACGAACAAATTGTAACTTCTCTTTATTACAACTCATTCTTTGATCATTACATAAAGCTTGAACGTTCTTTTTTGTTACAATAGTTTCCTTAATCGGCTTCTTTGTTTCCAATTTTTGTATTTTCTTGATTTGTATCGGTTTTTTTTGCTCAACTTTCTTTGTGGTTTTAACTTTTTCCATTTTCACAATTTCTTTCATTTGAATCGGCATAGAAGTTTCTCTTATATCATTTTTCCTTTCTACTTCTTCATCAGATTCCGAAGAACTCGTTTCAACTTCACCGTTATCTTCCTTAATAATCTTTTTATCTTTTTTAACTTTTTTCTGTTTCTTTTCATATTCTTTTAACGTAATTTCAGTATCAAATTGCTCATTTCTGATAAACGAATCCAATTCTGATTCTTTTCTTACATCTAAATCGCTTAAAGAAACTCTATCTGGTGTCCTTCTATCTGGAGTTCTTCTATCTGGTGTTCTTCTATCTGGCGTTCTTCTACGTGACGCTCTATCAGTTGATAATAAAGGAAGATCATCCAAAGATACTCTATCAGGTGATTTTTCGCGTACATAATCCCGATTTTCAAGGGTTTCTGTAAGAAATTCTGATACAGTTAACGTTTCTTCTAAATCTTTCTTTAATTCCTTTTGAATTGGCTTTGCAATTTGAGAAGGAAATTCAGAAATTCCTTTTTTATTTGGCACCTTCTTTTGTGGTCCCTTTTTAGGCTCAACATCATAAATATCTTGAGAAACATTAGTTTCTTTGATTGTTATTGTTACAGTATCATCTTGACGTCTTTGAGAAGGAAATTCTGACACTTTTGGTGCTTGCTTAATCTCTTTGCGCTTCTCTGGGTAAGGTTCCAAAGGTTCCTTTTCAGGAGACTTCTTAATTTGAGATGGAAACTCGCAAATTTGAGGAGATTCCCCTTTTTTAGTTGGCATCTTCTTTTGTGTTTCCTTTATAGGCTCAACATCATAAGTATCTTGTCGAGAAACTTTAGTTTCTTGAGTCGTTGTTGTTACAGTATCATCTTGACGTCTCTGAGAAGGAAATTCTGACACTTTAGGTGCTTGTTTAGGTTCTTTGCGCTTCTCTGGGTAAGGTTCCAAAGGTTCCTTTTCAGGAGACTTCTTAATTTGAGATGGAAACTCGCAAATTTGAGGAGATTCCCCTTTTTTAGTTGGCATCTTCTTTTGTGTTTCCTTTATAGGCTCAACATCATAAGTATCTTGTCGAGAAACTTTAGTTTCTTGAGTCGTTGTTGTTACAGTATCATCTTGACGTCTCTGAGAAGGAAATTCTGACACTTTTGGAGCTTGTTTGGATTCTTTGCGCTTCTCTGGGTAAGGTTCCAAAGGTTCCTTTTCAGGAGACTTCTTAATTTGAGATGGAAACTCGCAAATTTGAGGAGATTCCCCTTTTTTAGTTGGCACCTTCTTTTGTGTCTCCTTTTTAGGCTCAACATCATAAGTATCTTGTCGAGAAACTTTAGTTTCTTGAGTCGTTATTGTTACAGTATCATCTTGACGTCTTTTAGAAGGAAATTCTGACACTTTTGGTGCTTGCTTAATCTCTTTGCGCTTCTCTGGGTAAGGTTCCAAAGGTTCCTTTTCAGGAGACTTCTTAATTTGAGAAGGAAACTCGCAAACTTGCGGAGTCTCCCCCTTTTTATTTGGCACCTTCCTTTGTGGTTCCATTTTAGGCTCAACATCATAAATATCTTGACGTGATACTTTAGTTTCTTGACTTGTTATAGTTACATTATCATCTTGACGTCTTTGAGAAGGAAATTCTGACACTTTTGGTGCTTGTTTGGATTCTTTGCGCTTCTCTGGGTAAGGTTCCAAAGGTTCCTTTTCAGGAGACTTTCTAACTTGGGAAGGAAACTCGGATATTCTCGATGGTTCTGCAAAGAGAATGAATTTTTAGCACATAATATTAACTATGTAAAGATATTTTGAAGCACTTTTTTACAATCTACTCAGCACTAGAATTATTTAACAAATATTAACTCACCTATTTCAGATGATTCCTTCGTCTTCTCTGGATACGGCTCCAAAGGTTCTTTGTTGGGAGATTTCCTAATTTGTGATGGAAACTCAGCGATTTTAGATGGTTCCTTTAAATCTTTACGCTTTTCTGGATAAGGTTCCAAAGATTCCTTTTCTGGTGATCTTTTAATTTGCGATGGAAACTCTGAAATTTTGGATGGTTCTTTAATTTCTTTAGATTTCTGCGGATAAGGTCCCAACACTTCCTTCTCAGGCGATTTTCTAATCTGTGATGGAAACTCATTTATTTTCTCCTTTTTACTTTTTAATTCCTTTTCGGGCGACTTTTTAATCACCTTTTCCGGAGATTTATCAAAACTCCTTCTTCTTGATTGATCATCAACTACTTTTGTAGAAGTTATTGAATCCTTTCTTTCTTTATTAATCAACCCAAGAATCTCTTTGCACCTTTCCTCATAAGTATCAGTACGCCTAAAAGGCTTCCTTTTATCATCGGAAACTTCCTTAGTTGGCGATTTTTTCGGCGAGAAATCCATCAAAGGGGAAGTTGGTGATCTTTCGGTTACCTTTTTCTTTTTCGAAGTAGTAATCGTTGTATCCAACGTTTTTGGTCTTTTATCAACAACAACATTCTCAGTATGTCTTCGGGATATTTTCGTATCTTTAAACAAAGTATCCAAATCGGTTATTTGATCGTTTACGGATCGAACGAATTCAATTTCGCTTGCTGTTGTAGTTGGAGATGGACTCCTACTTACTTTTTTCTTTCTCGTTAAAGTATTTGAATCATAATCAGATTTTTTTGTTTTTATAAATGTTTCAGTACTCGAAAATTTTTCATTTTTCTTATTTGATATAATTTTTTCGGGACTTCTTGTTTTACTTTTTTCCGGACTCCTCCTAATTTTTTCTGGGCTACTCCTCAACGAGCTTTGACTTGGAGTTCTTGAATTTCTCCCACTCGGAATTCTATTTCTATCAGGACTAACCGATCTTAAAGATCTTACAAAAGCATCGTGTGTTGGGTTTATATCAACGCTAATTTTTTTCGAAACGTAATCAGTTCGATATGTAGTTTCATATTGACCATCAGTTGGGGAACGTTTTTCATCTAATTCAGATTTTGGGGGATTAAACGGTTCGCGACGTTCATGGGGAATAAAATCTTGTTCGGGTTTTAGAGGCTTTTTAGTTTCAATTGGGATTATTTCAACTGGTAAAGGTTTTTGCGCCGTTTCAACAACGTCTCGGCGTTCATTTTGAAGGAAATCATCACTCGTTGATTTATATTGATCAATTTTATTTGTTGTTTTTATGATTTGTTCAGGTTGGAAATTTTCGACAACTTTATAAACATTTTTATCATCCCCAGTAATCATTTTTTCCGTTGTTTTTTGAATCGTAGAACTTTTCACATTTACATCATCCCTCCCAAGAGTTTTTAAATCATGAATTCTCCTCCTTGATTGTTCAGTATTAAAATCGTCAAAAGATTCCACATTTTTTTGATCATCAAAACATTTTTGACTTGTAATAACAACCTCTTGAGTTGAAACTGGTTTCGTTTGAGTTGAAGTTTTAGTTTCACTTCTTATTACTTTAACGTTTTGAGAACCTAAATCTTTTCCAACAACTCTTCTAGACTGATCATCATCGTCAAAATACTGATTTTTAACAATAACAATTTCTTGGGTTGGTACAGAAACACTCTCGTTTCTTTGCGATTGCGAGGAAGTCGTTTGGTGATGACTCTGACTTTCTGATTTCTTCTGTGATGAAGTTGAATAAGATTTAGACCCAGAAACGGTTTCATATCTCGTAGTTGTAACGGTGCTTCCATCTGGGAGTGTTTTAGTTTCCGTATAAACTTTAGTTTTTCCGTTAGAATCGTTAATCGGGTTATTTTCCTTAATTTTTCGAATTTGGTCAAAATCATCGATTAAATCCCCGCTTGTTGATTTTTGTTCGCTTTTAAATTGCGATGAAGAACTAGATGTCATTGATGAAGTAAAAAATTTCGAATTTTCATCCCCACCATGCGCTTCCTGTTTAATCACATTGCTCGTTGAGTTTCCAACGGATTTAGTATAATTTTTATCATCGCCTTCATGAGAAACCGAAGCTTTTTGTTCCGCTTTTGCGGCATATTTCGCTTCACCTCCTTGAATCTCCTTTTTTCCGGATGTTGTGGCTAATCTCGTTGATACATGGTGTTTTCCATCTTCAGAGGAGCGATTGGTCTCCATGATATCCCAGCCTTGATCGTGTTTTTTAGAAATTCCTGTTATTTTGTAAGCATCTCTTGTTGGGGATTCGGAGTCGCGAATTTCTTTAGTTTTTAAGCTCAAAAAGCTTTGATCTCCTAAGCTATCAGCGTGGGTCATTTTATCGGAGCAAGTTTTAGTTGTTTTTATGCTTTCTTCGCCGGTGTTAGTGTAAAAATCTTTTAAACGAGTTTCTCGGATTTTATACATATGGGCGCGAATTTCCTTTTTTCGCCCAAAATCATCTGTGTCTTGCCACTAAAAATTGTTTTTAATTAATCCCTTTAATTTTATGTTAATTAATCACTCACCATCCGTTTTAAAACATCCTCATCTTGAATCAACGAATAATCACTTGTATTCGAAGACATTCCGATTTCATTCAAAGTTATCTACAAACAAAATTAAGATTAATTAAAAATCATAACTTATTAATAGAAGATGATTTTTTTTATGGTTAACTGACTCATTTTGACCCATTTAAAATTCTTTTTAAAATTTAAATCTGTCGTTTTGTGGTTTTTACTTTTATTTTCGTTTTAACGAGAATGATAACGTAAAAAAGTTTACCGATAATCGGGAACGAAGAAAGGTTGAAAATGGGTACTTTAGATTTTTTTTTAACTTGAAATTCCGGTTAACATTCTTCGATTCCTACTTTTCCTATTCGTTTAATAATAAATAACAGTAATAATCCCACATGGAGAATTGTTTGAGGAAAAAAATGGTGTAAGGTGACGTTATCTGGGTTTCTGTTGTAAAGTGCATGGGTGGGTATTACTCATCTAGAAAAGAAATAAACGTGTATGCAAGAAAAAATAACGCATTCGTCCCACAAGTGTCGATGTTAAACCCACGGGATTTATTAAAATCTAATCTTAAAAACTCTTTTAAAAATTTATTTAGATTCATTTAAAATGGATTTAATAGTTTATACTAAAATTAATTGATATTATTTGTATTACAGATTAATACAGCCCCACACTCAGGAGTTAAGCCAGATAGTTTTTTTGGAGAGATTGACTATAAAGATTGATATGGTTGTGGTATTTTTGATATGTACAAAATTAATGAGACAACAAGAAACGTGTATAGACTTATTTATACAGATTTATTGTGCAATTAACCATTTTCTTCTGTTTTTAACTCCAAAACATTCTTTAAACAACATATTTTCTATTAACTTCTTGACTTAATCGCATTTCTTATTATCGTTATAATCATCTTATATGACTCTAAATGATCTATAATGATCAATATATGACTTGGAAAGCTTAACTCTTCTAGCACCATCATTAATCTGTATAAAATAGATCATTATGCTTAATGCATAATGCACACCCTGCAACTAAAAGTATAATAAATTTTAATTTTATTCCAATTTTAATCCATGAATATTTAGAATTTGACAGTTCAATGTGACCAACCCTAAATAAATAAAATTTAGCCTAACCTAAAAATTAAAAATTTTTTTTTGTGTACTTATCTGAGGTTGAGTTTTAATCGGGCATCGTTTATCGAGTTTCTTTAAAAGGTTCATCTTAAATTTTTGATTTCTCATGGGCGTGATTCCTTCGGGAACGCTTCTTAAGGATATTCAATTGGAAGAATTCGGATCAGAAACTAAATTATTCGACTTTATAAGGTCATTGTTGAGTTTATAACATTATTTTTAAACGATTCTTTTGTATTTTTACGTTCAATAAACAATTTTACTTCTATTTTTTGGCGAAAAAGCATCTTTAAGAATACACACTAACCTTCTTTTATTTCCTTTTTTTTCATAGCTACCCTAGATATCTTAGAAATAAAACCGGTTAATGTCAACAAAAATCCGCTTTTTTCATTGGTTGATCCAAGTGGTGTGATTTATACGATGATATTAAATACAAAGGAGTTTTATATTCCCTGGAGTTTTAGAGGTAAATATTACTTATTTAAATCAAAATAAAGCTGTAGTGAAATAAAAAAGTTTAATATTAATTAAATTGTTGTCGATTACAACGCCATCTTTTGACATCAAATTAATTTTTTGTTTGTAGATTACATTAATCAAACGTCAAATGAAAATAGAGGTTAACAATGCTTTAATTGAGTTTTTAACCAAATAAAGGAAGTTAGCGACTTGGAATTAATTAATTTCCCCATTTTCGAAGTTAATTTAGTTATGAAAGTATTTCGGTTTCAAAGAACTAGTTTTAAATATTTCGTGGAGATTTAAAGGTAAATATTATTTATGTAAATCAAAATAAAGCTTTTCATTTTTATGTAGTGAAATAAAAACGTTTAATATTAATTGGCGCCGATTATAACGCCATCTTTTGACATCAAATAATATTTTTTTTTAAATTTTTGTAGATGACATTAACCAAACGTCAAATGAAAATAGAGGTTAACGCTTAAATTGAGTTTTTAACCAAATAAAGAAAATCAGCGGCTTGGAAATGTTTTAAATTTTATCATCATAATCAAAGTGAGTAAATTCGTATTAATTAATTTCCCCATTTTCGAAGTTAATTTAGTTATGAAACTATTTCGGTTGCAAAAAGTTAGTTTATGACAGATTTCTCTTTTTGGGTATAAAGCTCCAGATTCTTCTTATTGTGCCAAGGCTACCCCATAACATCGAGTTCTTGCTCTGCATTTCATCGCGGTTGTTTTGCCCGAAAAACAGAAAGAGAGAAAAAACCGAATAAGAAGTCGAGAAATCGGTACGCACGCACGCAGCCTCTGGTGCTTGTCTCGACGTTCGTGGTAGCCCCATTTTTCCTTATAAGGAGCAACCTTTATATGGGTTCCAAGTTGCACTTTTATTTGACCATGGCCTCCCTCCGCGATTAAGCAATAAATGAGTCAAAATATGTCCATACATCAAGTTGTAGATCGTCATCAAAGAGCATATGGTCAATTTTTGTTTGATTTCGCTTTTATGAAGAGCGAGAAACGAAAGAATTTGATTTTGGAGTTATAAATAGGCGTGAATTAATTTTTAACGGGCGACAAATTTTAAATAATCCGGCAATTGACCAATTTATTTATGATGTCAGATTTGAGTGTGGGTTAAATTTAAATTACAAGGTGTTTTTCTATTTTGCACGAAGACACTTAACGATTATTAGCGACACGAAACGATTTTTATTGCTTTATTTGTTATGTAACGTTGAGGAAGAACTTAAATTATTTATTTTAAAGACGGGTAAACACTTAACGAGTGTTTACGCCGATTAAAAAGTGATTAAAATTTAATTTAAGTAAAATAATAATATTTGTTTTGAGAAAAAAACTTACCTTAAGTTTTTTTAGGCTTCTTCCACCCCGTTTATTCGATTATAATTAAAAAAGTATTAGAAATTAGTCACTTAAAAAATTGAAATTGAATTAAAAATTGGAGTTTAACTCAAAAATTTTTGTATCTCGAAAATAATTAGTTAAAATTCGTAGCGGGAAAAAAATATTGATCGGCACTATCGTTTCAAACGTCGTCAGACGACTGACTGAAAGAAATCAGTAGGACACCTTCGAACCTTGTATAAATGTGGTATAAACTGCGTTGTTTGTGTGTGTGTGGCGCGAGCTGTATATGTTTATTTACCCAGGACCGGACCATAACATATAATTCGTCATAAACACTTTTTTTTTTGATATAATTCACCATAAATGATTTTTATTTAACTTGAAAATTTAATTTTTTATGTAACAATGTTGAAATTAACGCAAATAAGTTAATCCAACCCTGTATAACTCCGCCCTCAAAGAAAATCGTCACGATGACGTCATTGCTCAATTCGCAACGTTTTGCAAATCGCAAAAAAAGAATCGAACCGAATAAATAAGAGATGGTTAAATCAGCCGTACAAAATGGGTGTCTTTTAAATTAATATTTTTTTGGAATTTTTCAAAAATTAAAGAAGATAAAATGGGACGAATTAAAAGAATGACAATATCGTGCCATGGCCAGCAGCATTTTGTGGTGTATATCGTTGTAAAAGATAGAGAGAGAGAGTTTCTTTACCAAGTGTGGAGATTCGACCTTATACATCCCAACATTTCGACGAATATGGTATTGGCGAATTGTACTCTTACACAGATGTTTCGTAATCAACACGAAATACAATCGAATCTTTAAGAAGATTTAAACAATTTTGGTTAAGCAATTAAAATTAATCTTGCCCCAAAAAAATAAATAAGGAAAGAAAAAGAGTCGGTTTACAAATCCATTTTACTTAATTGTTTATTCAAGATGCAAATTGCACGTAACGCGCAGCAATCTAAATTTAGAAACATCCATAAATCCGAATAAATCGAAAAACAATGATTCAGAAAGATATTAACACAAAAATCGTTCCACCTTCTTCGTCAAAACTTAAAAAACGATTCTTTTAAACACATCTATTATTCATAAATACCTATAATTCTGCAATTCTAAAATTATACAGAACAGAAAAACCGATTTCGCCCACGGCAACAACAATTTCAACAACAAGTTAAAGAGGAAGTTTAATAAGAACGAGTTAATACCAATACTAATACTAATACAGGTGAAAACGTTTTCGAAACGAATAAATAATTCATTTTTATAATTTATAAGCGGCGATGTGCAGCTGTACGACAAAAGATTCAAATAAATCGAAATAAATGAGCGAAAAAAAACCATCCGGAGTTCCAAAAATGGCGAGAACAACGAAGAGATCGAAACCAGTCGATGGAGGTAGGCGAGCGATGACGTCATTTAAACGTATTCACGATTTAAAAGCGAACTAAATAAATTTTTATTGTTAAAAGCTTACATAAGAAATTGTGTTTATTTAAAGTTACTTTTTATTCAAATTTAGGTTAATTGATTTTGACATCTGTCAAGTATATAAAATGACAGCTAAAATTATCATTTTTAATTGAGAAATTAATATTATATAATTATATTATAAATAAATTAATAATTATTTGAAATATTCACAATTATCTGTCTTTCATTCCCCTGTATACTCAATGTTATGAGTTATGAGCAACTGTATTTATCAATTAAAAATGATAATTTTAACTGTCATTTTATTTCGTTTTCGATAACTGTTTATCCATCCTGTTTAGATCCGTTTGTTTTTGAAAAGAATTTATCATTTTCTAAACAAAATTTTTTTAATTGTCACATTAAACTGTTTATTGCCTGCAATATCGATTAAAGATTATTAATTAATAATAGTCGGATCATTAAGCTATCTTAAGTAATCGATTTGTGGATTGGAACAATTCAGTTTTATCAAGATTAAATTCAACATTTATGTGAAAAATAATTTTCAAATTAACTTTATAATCAAAACTTTTTATATAATAATGCTTACATAACACTATTTCTTAATATAAAATACACAACTTTGAAATTTTTGAATTGATTATGTTTATTTTAAAGAATTGACCTGTTCATTTTTTTTCTATAATACCTGTCAAATTGTTGTAAAGTTGGCAAAATTAACAGGGAGTTTTGTTTTATCATGTTTTGAAGTAAATATGTCACATTGACGTTTGAGCTTTCGTTATTCAAAAAGAAAAGGTGCATAAAAAGTGTTGTGGGGTGTTTATTTGCCATTTACTTACCTAGAAAAGGTATTTTATTCTATTTAATTATTTTGTAGCACGTTTTTATAACAAATATGTACAGGGTGGTTCAAATTCGATGTCCGAATAGGCTATCTCGGAAACTATAAGAGCTAGAAAAAAAATAGCTTACATGTCATGATCTCGTTTTTCGAGAAACTGCAAATGCCAATAACCTCAAAGCGCTACCGTCTTTTGTTTTTCCGCTAGAGGCCAAAATTGAAAATATCGTAAAACCAGCAAGTGCAATTATCTTGGTTATTATTATAGGTGGAGTATTATAACTAAGACATTATATGGACACTTTTTTACAGAAAATTTGATGATGTAGTCAAAAAATTTTTTTCGAATTTAGATTTTGAGATATTGTCACAATTTTCGTTTTTTTAAATGGATACAACCACTCATTATTCGCTTGTTAAATTCGTTATTTTTTTCTGATTACAAAAATATGCTGTTAGATAAGTCTATTTCTTATTGTTTTGGAATAAAGCTAAAAATAAACTTTTTTTTGGTGTCGCCAAAGAAATTAAATTTACAGTTTCCTGTAAATTATAACTAAAAATTAAAAAAAACATATTAATGATATTTGAAACAAATATATTTGTTGAACTATTTAATTTATACTTTTTTTGACACAAAAGTTGGAATAGATTGCATTATTTCACATTTTTTATTAATATTTAATATTATTCTTAAATGACTTAATAAATTATTGATAGATGGCGCCATATGTTTTTTTTTTGATTCAAATAAACATAGCAACATTTGTTTGTATTCAAAAATTTTCTGAAGTGTCACTTTAAAAATCCTGTTTTTAAGATCAATTACGAAAATTTTGAAAAGTTTGACATGTTAGAATGTTACATATTAAAAAATTATTTGTTTTTAAATACCAGAAGTTATCTTCGTATTTAATTGTTAACTTTTTAGATTTTACCTACCGCCCCGTAACTTACAGGAAACTGTAAATTTAATTNCAAATGTTTCTGTGTCTATTTGAATTCAAAAAAAAAACAAATGGCGCCATCTATCAATAATTTATTAAGTCATTTAAGAATAATATTAAATATTAATAAAAAATGTGAAATAATGCAACCTATTCCAACTTTTGAATAATTACATATATAAATTAAATAGTTCAACAAATATATTTGTTTCAAATATCAGAAATATGTTTTTTTAATTTTTAATTATAGTACCGTAATTTACAGGAAACTGTAAATTTAATTTCTTGGAAGACACTAAAAGAAAAGTTTATTTTTAGCTTTATTCTAAAACAATAAGAAATAGACCTGTCAAACCCTATATTTTTATAATCAGAAAAAAATAACGAATTTAATAAGCCAATAACCAGTGGTTATTTCCATTTAAAAAAACAATCGTTGTGATAATATCTCAAAATCTAAAACCGAAAAAATTTTTTTGACTACGTCATCAAATTCTCTGTAAAAAAGTGTCCATATAATGTCTTAGTTATAATACTCCAGCTATAATAATAACCAAGATAATTTCATTTGCTGGTTTTACGATATTTTCAATTTTGGCCTCTAGGGGAAAAACAAAAGACGATAGCGTTTTGAGGTTTTCGACATTGGAACTTATTTAAAAAAAGAGATCAAGACATGTAAGCTACTTTTTTTCTAGTTCTTATAGTTTCCGAGATAGCCTATTCGGACATCGAATTTGAACCACCCCGTACTTCGTCAAAATCGTATTTATCTAAAAATTTATTAGTATTTTAACCTCAACTAATTAGCAGAGCCCGGACAGTTTAGGAAAAGTGCGCCCCTCCACACGAAACGAATTCCATGACAACGACATAAGTACGTTGTTGTCGCTTTTGACATCTTTTGATCACTAAGTTATTCTTCTAAATTGAATTTCGAAGAGCGATGAGCGTACCTTAGCGAAGAACTTGCTGTGCAACATTAATTAATGAATTAATAAAAATAATATAAAAATACGCACTGAATTAATCATTTTTGGTTTTATTAAATTTATAATTAATAATTTATTTCGTGACATAAGGTATGACGTATCCGACAGCTTCGCACGCTTCGATTGAATTTTTGAGACTGGAGTGGGAGCCGTTTTAGGATAACTTTCCTAAACTGTCCGGGCTCTGCTAATTAGTTACTGACAATGTTACTAAAAATCATGAAAACAACATAAATTTTATAAGGGTCCTAGATAATACCAACAGAAACCCTAAATAATTTACATTGACAAGTATTATAGAAAAAAAACGAACTATAAATTGGACGTTTAGAACTGTCATTTTTTATGGTTATTGTATCAAATTTGATATTTAACATCAACGGTTAATATTTGTTATTTTCCCACTACAAATTTGAATATTTAATGTTTTTATCGCGTTCATATTCATTTCGTCTGTTTGAATTTTTTCTTTTTTGATTTATTTCTTCTTGCAATACCAACCTAAATAATTTTCTTTTCGTATTAAAAATTTAATTTTAATCAAATATTTTATTTACGAATTTGTATAAAAGTGTGTATCTTTTGTATAAATTATTAATTAAATTGGCATTTTCGATGATTAATTCGTTAAAAAAATACAATTTAACGAAAAAAAAATAATTTGTACTTATTGCCATCTATTGACACAAACACTAACTTTATACTAAACATAACACCAGTAACAATTTCCAATTTACATTATTTTTATTAATTAGCAATATCATTTTAATAACAATTTTTTTTGTATTATAGATATTTTTCATTGTTAATTTATTAAAAGAATTAAGTTTAATGAAGAAAAAATTAACTTTAAAATTCCTTACCGCCATCTATTATCGCAAATTTTAACTTTACTTTTAACATTAACAATTTCTAAATTATATTGATTAGAAATACCATTTTAATAACAATATTTATATATATTAAAGGCTTAAAAACGTTTTAATATCGATTGGATCAAAATTCTTTGTTATTCTATATAAATATATTTGACATTTAACCCATTTAACATAACCTCAAAAATTTATCTTCTTTTATGCTTTAATGTAATTTTAATTACTTTTTATTATACTTCGATATGAAAGGAAGAGATGGTTCAGGTACAAAACTATTTTTATCTTCTATGAGTAAACAACTTTCATAATCAAAACTTAATTAATAATTTATTGGGTACTTAACACAACGGGATGTTGCATCCGATGTGCTTTTAAACAATCTATTGTACAAAATCGATTTCCCATATACTCAAAAGGTACTTTTCCCGACATATCCGAAGCGCATAGAAAACATCTTGTGATAACAATCCCCGATTGATTTATAATCCTTCTTTCGGCTGCTAAAGCTCTCTAAAAAAATGTTAAATTGTTTGCTAATAAAAGTATTTAATGAAACTTACCTTTTCTCGATCACTTAACTTCAAAAATCGATTTTTCTCATCTTGCTCTTGCTTTTGAATAAATTGTTCTTTCCTCTTCTCTTTTTCCTTGTCCTTTTTTGATTTTCTTTGTACTCGCTTTTTCTCCGCGATTTGTTCCAGTGTTAAAGTATTCGTTGGGATATTAGCCTATAAATCAGATTAATTAAATTAATTAATCAAAAACGTTATTTTTACCTTGTTGTAATTAAATTTATCCGGATTTTGAGCTGCATATTTTTTAAAAAATTCCCTAACATTTTTATCTTTAGTGCAGGTATATGGAGTCTCTTGTTTATCGTTTTTCGAGCATAAATTACAATTATTTTCTAATAAATAAATAATAATTTCTTCGTGCAAGTATTTCGCCGCTAAATGAAGTAAACCATCTCCGGAGTCGGTACAAAAATCATCTAACTTTTTGATCGGATTTTCTTCAATTTCCTCTGTTAATAATCGTTTTAAAAGATCTAAATCGCCGTTTTTACATGATTCGAAGATTTCTTCTCTTCGTTTTACAGCAAATTTTTTTTCTTTTTGTTTCTTCGCTTTTTGTTTAATACGATTGGATTTTTTCTTTCTTTCTTCTGGTGTTAAACTATCATCGAAAGTTTTTAATTCTTCTCCAAAATTAACGATTAATTCTTCAACTTCAAGTTCTTCGCCACTTTCATTCGAAATTAATTCAATTTTGTTTGGGGAATTCTTTTTAGATTTAACCAAAGCATTTTTAACCTTATTTTCTTCAACGGTGACATTGCTAATTTGTGCCGGAAGATCTCTTTCAACGGTTTCTCTAGATTTCGCTCTATTTACGTTATTATTTCTTGTGCGACTTCTATTCCTTTTTGATTTTTCTGGTGAACCAGGAGATGTTAAAATTTGAGTTGCAATATCAACGGAATCGAATAGAGAAATTGTTGAAAGAAGACCGAAAACTCTTTTAACTTCAGTAAATGTTGCTCTTCTTGTTGAAAATGGCACATTTCTTATTCTTGGGTCGTTTCTTTCTAATAAAGGAGTTTTTCCACCGAATAAAATTGATTTGTTATAAGGACCAGCCGCTCGGCAAATTATTAAACTTGATTTATCAATTTCCGGCTTCCAATTTTCTAAGATATCTTTAACATGCTAAAAAAATTCCAAATTTATAATTTTAATATTATTTGTAATCAACTTGACAGATTAATAATTATTTGAAACGTAAAAATTTCAAAAAACGTCAATTTAATTTAATTTTTTACAACATTCTAAAGGTTTGATATTAAAAAACGTAAACAAATTCCTTTTTTCGTATGATTTAAGTATAAATTAATTAATTTTCGTAAAAAAAACATGACATTTCATAAAATTGACATTTAATTGTTGTGAAGTTAGTTACAGTTGGTAACGTTGAATTTGTGTCACATTGACGTTTAAACTTTATTCAAAAATTTATTTAAAAAATAAATTTATGGAATCAATTTCAACAGTAGTCGTGGACAAAGTATTCTACTCACATATAATGAGCCATTATTCACTCAGGTTAGTTGTAGTGAATAATAGCCCACATTATATGCTCATATAATAATAGTATTTTTTTACTTGATTTAGAGCTGATTCATTATATCTCCTTAATGAAGCTCCAGCACTTTTCGGGTGGGATCCTTGATTATCCCGAGCACTTTGAGTCCCACCTTGCCCCGCACGAACCGTGTAACAATGAAAAGTTTTATGCAAAAAAGGTTCTTCATTTTTAAATATAGCCCCTGCAAAATGACCACCTCCCAACATAAATAGAGCCCATTGGGGGTTTACATGATATTCCAAAAGAGAATGTAGAGCGGAAACATTATTGATATCTTCTTTTTTATTACCCAATAGGCATTTATACATCCCCAACACTTTTCCGGTCGATGTTTTTAGGAAAATTTTGCCTTGCGCACCAGCTAAAGTATCTAATGATTGCTCTTCTTCGCTATCAGAACCAGAAATACTCGAAACATCATCTAAATAAATCAAAATGTCAAATTTTTGAGGTTATGTTGAAATTCGACGTTTTGAGGTTATAATCTTGTGAATGTCGCCATGACAACAACATACGAATTTTAACCTCAAAAATTTGACATTTATCACCTGTCCGATCTAAAAATTCCTCCTCAGTTATCGGAGCTTTCGAAAGCAAATTTAATTTCAAATTGTATCGGTGCCAATCTAATTTGTAATGTTCCCGCTGTTGCGTTGAATCTAAAAATGTTATCTTGCAGTAAGAACATGATAAAACAGTTTGATTCGAAGAATTTTGCAGCTTTTTTGTTTCCAATTCCTGTTCTAAAGCGATTTCGTCCTCTTTTTCAAGTTGAATTGTGTTCACACCATCTTTTATAAGATCATGGAAGGTGTCTGAGAAGACTTTATAGGACTCCATATCTGAAAAGATCATTTTTATTATTCTATTATGTTATTACAACTTTCAGGCTAATTTAATCGAAAGCAAAAAATCACTTTTTAATAGACTCTATGTTTTTATTAATATAAATACATTCCGATTTATAAAAAAATAACTATATCTACAAAAACTGTTAAATAACAATTAAAAAATTGTTATAAATAAATAAAACTATCAAAAATTTTTTTAAGTAACGTAAAATGTGGATAATATTTTATATCCAATTAAATTGTCTCCAATACATATAACAAGTAACGGTGATCCCAATTAAAAGCGCAAATGCGTAGTTTGAATGAAAAGTATGTCCAGAAGCTTTTCTAAAAAATACATTTTTTTAATGATTTAATTAATTAATTAATTTTCAGACCCCAACCTGTATTTGGATGGTGAAAAAGGACTTGGAGGTTGTACACCCGGAACATCAGAATCCAAAAATACAATAATCCCAGTGAAATATGTAGTAAGTAACCCACAAAGTATCGGCAACCAAATCGAACTGTATTTAATACTTTCCCTCCAAAAATATCGTATCATAGCTTCACCATTTTCAGTCACATTTTCCGTTTTCAATTCGGTTGTGTAAAAAAACTCCTTTAAGTGGTCCCCTAAAAACAAATATTGCGCAATATTATATTTGATTACGAAAAATTTTATTAAAATTATTTCAATACTTACGGTGCAAATGACAAACTTTAGCACCCACAATTATTACGGATACAATTAATCCGAACACAGCGAGCTTCCGTTCGCTTAAAAAAAACCTTTTTTGAGGAAATTCACTGGTTGCGTGCACATTTCTACGCGGAGTCGCGATATTTAACGAATTTTTCGACATTATTTCGCCCGTTTTTTTTAATTTTAAATTGTCACTAATAATTTTGAAGCTTTTTAACGAAATCTTACCTTTGCCAAAAACTAACCTCTTCCGATGTTGACAGCTCAATTGACGTTTCTAAAATAGAGTGATACAGCGACATCTTGCAGCTTTTTATATAATCAATTTTTATCTCAATTTAACGCCATCTATGAATTAATTTTTAAAATACAAAATAGGTTATGTTTTGAATGGAATATTTTTAATTATCACATAAAAAGAGATTATCATTGGTTTTCTTATCTGAAATAGTAAGTATAAGTCCTAATTTGAAGAAATAACTGTTTAGTTATAAAATAATGTCAAACTCTGAACACCCAAGGAATTTAATTCCGGAATTGTGCAGGCAATTCTACGATTTGGGTTGGGTAACAGGAACCGGGGGTGGAATTAGTATCAAATATGATGATAAAATATATATCGCACCTTCAGGGGTGCAAAAAGAACGGATAAAACCTGACGATTTATTCGTACAAACCATTGATGGGGTCGATTTAGAGTTACCACCCCCGGAGAAGAAGTTAAAAAAAAGCCAATGCACCCCATTATTTATGTGCGCTTACACTCAAAGACACGCAGGGGCAGTTATTCACACCCATTCAAAAGCTGCGGTTATGGTAACTTTATTATATCCGGGTAAAACGTTCACATGTACCCATTTAGAGATGATTAAAGGGATAAAAGATCAAAAATTGGGGCGCAATATTCGCTACGACGAACAACTGGTGGTACCAATTATAGAAAATACTCCTTTTGAAGAAGATTTAAGGGATCGAATGGCTGAAGTGATTCAAGAATACCCAGGAACTTGTGCTGTTTTAGTTCGAAGGCACGGAGTTTACGTTTGGGGCGATTCCTGGCAACAAGCTAAAACTATGTGCGAGTGCTACGATTACCTATTTGATGTTGTGGTCCAGATGAAATTGCACGGATTAGATCCGAATGCAAAGAATTAAAATTTCAAACATCTAAATAAATCAAAACGTCAAATTTTTGAGGTTATGTTGAAGTTCGACGTTTTGAGGTTAAATTTTGTGACTGTCGTCATGACAACAACATAGATACTAATGGGATTATAACCTCAAAAATTTCAAAGCAAAAATAATTTTTAAATTTTACTAAAAAGTAACCTTAACAAGTATTACATGATGAATTATGTACACAAAACAACAAAAAAGAAATGAAATTAATGAAGAAAAATAGATATCCCCTAACAAGAAGCTTTGGTTTCTTGGAATTTTTCATGTTATCTAGACTAAAAGGTGCCCAAGTGCGAGGTTTTTTCGTAAAAGAGCATATAAGCGGTGCATTGTAGTACTTCATCCATTGATACTTCACGGATTTCAACATCTGACGTATAATACCACCTAAAAAAAATTTTTTTAAGGAAAAAAAAATAATAATTAAATAAAAAATTACTTGGTGTTTTGATGCCCCCTTCGATAAGTTATAAAATGTCCTGAATGTGCATTTCCTGTATGAACCACAACAGCCGCCAATTGATAAACATTTCTCCAAGCGTTATCACTCAAAGAACCCGCATTCCACGATGTTGGCATGCTATTCGATAACGGACTCCCCCCTTCACTTGTGCTCATAAAAAACTAAAACCAAAAATTTTTTAGGTTAGCTCAACTTTTTAATACAATTATTACCGTCCCGGTTAGTTTTCTTTGATATTGAGCTTGCAAAAACGTGTAACTCGCCAAAGACAACCTCATTGGGAATTGTACATAATCCTGCCTCTTCGACATTCCATTTGGCGACCAAGTATTCCTCGATATATGAATACACAAACAAATCGGTAACTTCCCAAAATTCAAGATTTTAATTTGTTTCGAAAAAATTGGAGGGGACGCATCGTTCGGATCACGATCTTTATTACAACCATCACATAAAACATCAGGTACAATCTCGGGTGTAACAAAATTCGTCAACAATTGATGCAATTTGTGCCTTCCGTAACCTAAATCGCCCATCCCCGACGGTAGCGCCAAAGATAAACTTTCAAATTTGTCGTAGCGAACGCTCGATTTATACCCACACTGCGTACATCGCAATTGACTCGTTAAAGTCCCCGTAAATGGGTGTGTAACGGGTTGCGGAGGCGGAGCCGTCACTAAAAGAGATCGACACGATCTCGAAATCCAGCGATATCGCCGCGCGGACCCAAAACTAAGACTTAAAGGCCTTGACAAATCGTTTAACGACATCACACTTCCCGTTGGATCAAAATCAATATCATTATCGTGGCGTTCATCTTGAGATTGATCATCGAACGTGTTATTTACCAAATTTAAACCTAACGCATCCGAAAGACAACCGGTATTCCGAGTCGATTTTTGCATCTCTTCTTCAAGCGTTGTCAAAATAACGTTTAAAAGTTCGTGGGCATCTTGTTCTCCAGCCGGGATTACCCAACCCAATCGTTTCAAAGCACTTATAACTGCAGCTGGGGCGTAAGTATCTTGTATTGATCTATTCGTACCATTTACAACTATTTTAAAATAAAATTATTAAAGGAAATCAATTTAATAAAAAAATCCCACCTGATAAAACCGTAGCCAAAGTTGACCTCAAACTCGTGTCTTTAATCGAAGTATCCTTCTCTAAAAACACCACAAATTGAGGGCAAGCGGCCAAAGCGTGTAAAATAGCGTTTAAAAAACACGTTTTTCCTAAATTAACGAGCCCGGCTAACCTCCCTCGACCGCCGGCGCTTGTTGAGGGGCCCCAAAAAACGAAAGCGCCGACAACGGCTGCGGCCGTTAATCCGGCCGCCACTAATAACCTCTCTGATTCCATCGACACGTTAAATTCGTAAAAATTCGATTTAAATGCCGCATTACTAAATATTTTGGAATGTTTAATTTCAAACTGTCATTGTCAATCTTGTCACTTTTGACGTATCGATTTTATTTAGGTTGGTAATAACAAAATGGTCACCAAATTAATAAAAAAATAAAGATAGGGAAAATAAAATCATTTTTATGTGTATCTTTATTAAATTTGGAGATATTCAAGAATTCAAAATCAAAAATTCGATGTTCCCCTAAGTCAACACCTAACCTACAAATTGTTTGTTTTATAGTCACGCATAAAATCAATATGATAAATTTAAAAGTAAAGTTATTTTCATTAAACTAGGTGAAATTATAACGTATATTTTCGGATGAAACACCCTTGTTTTTCTTAGGCTTGCGATGCATATATCAATAGACTCTGTATTAATACTAGAACTAACACTAGACCGAAAACTAGAAAGAATGGGATGCATATGATTTTGTTTGCATATCTTGATAGAGGATAAATCCTTCTACGTAATGAACATATCAAATCATATGATTGTATAAGAAAAAAGTGTTTTCTGAAAATTACAATCAAAATAGGCGCCGAAATAACGCCGTTGACAAGTTTAAATATCAAAAAATTGACAGTTTAAACAAATATGGCGCAATTAAGCGAACAACAAAGAATTCAAATATTAATAACGTATGGGTATGGTGATAAAAAACGCACTCAAAGTGAAGTTTTTACACTGATCAATAATATTTACCGGGATATACAGATAACATAATCCACAATATCCAAAGTATTAAAAAAATTCTTTAACACCGGAAGTGCTAAAAACCTTCCAAAAAGTGGACAGCTACCAATGAGGAAACTACATTAAATGTGTGTCACCGTACCCATACATTATTATTTATTCATAGTTGTTGAAACTGTCATTTTTTTGACATTTAAAGCTGTCAACCTCGTTATTTCGGCGTCTACTTTGATTGTAAATTGCATAAATGCATTTTTTCTTATACAACCATATGATTTGATATCCTCATCATAATATTTATCCTCTATCAAAGTATGCAAAAAAAATATGCATCTCATATAAAATAACAATGTTGGTTGCCATAGCAACGAAACAAAAAAACAATACAAACAAGCAAACATCGCCAAAAAATGCGTCACAATTAATAAAGAAAGTTGTATTTGAAACATTTTTCTTTAAAACCACAAATGGCGAAGTTATTGTCTATATTCCAGACATTTGACACACATGTATATGGTTAGCACGGTTGATGACGTCACGTCGAAACTTTAAAGTGATTTTTCGCTGTTTTACACTTTTTTGTAATTCGCGACGGTAATGAAAGCTATAGCAGTACTCAAACGGGTGCTGTAATGAGACTCCTTACAGCATCCGATGCTGTAATGAGATTTTAGTAACATTTTATGGAACCAGTTCAAGTTGGTGACATTGGGTCATTAATTTTTCTAGTTGTCAATGTGACAATGTTTGTCTATGGATGTTTAAACACGTTCTTAGCATCGAATACAAGGTCCAAAATGATGAGGACATTGAACTCTGAGCAATTTCTCTTATTTTGGGAGGTGTACAGGGTGGTTCAAATTCGATGTCCGAATAGGCTCTCTCGGAAACTATAAGAGCTAGAAAAAAAGTAGCTTACATGTCTTGATCTTTTTTTTAAATAAGTTCCAATGTCGAAAACCTCAAAACGCTATCGTCTTTTGTTTTTCCCCTAGAGGCCAAAATTGAAAATATCGTAAAACCAGCAAGTGCAATTATCTTGGTTATTATTATAGCTGGAGTATTATAATTACGACATTATATGGACACTTTTTTTACAGAGAATTTGATGACGTAGTCAAAAAAATTTTTTCGGTTTTAGATTTTGAGATATTATCACAATGTTCGTTTTTTTAAATGGAAACAACCACTGATTTTCGCTTATTAAATTCGTTATTTTTTTCTGATTATAAAAATATAGGGTTTGACAGGTCTATTTCTTATTGTTTTAGAATAAAGCTAAAAATTAACTTTTCTTTTAGTGTCTTCCAAGAAATTAAATTTACAGTTTCCTGTAAATTACGGTACTATAATTAAAAATTAAAAAAACATATTTCTGATATTTGAAACAAATATATTTGTTGAACTATTTAATTTATATATGTAATTATTCAAAAGTTGGAATAGGTTGCATTATTTCACATTTTTTATTAATATTTAATATTATTCTTAAATGACTTAATAAATTATTGATAGATGGCGCCATTTGTTTTTTTTTTGATTCAAATAAACATAGCAACATTTGTTTGTATTCAAAAAGTGTCACTTTAAAAATCCTGTAATAATATTAAATATTAATAAAAAATGTGAAATAATGCAATCTATTCCAACTTTTGTATAATTACATATATAAATTAAATAGTTCAACAAATATATTTGTTTCAAATATCAGAAATATGTTTTTTTAATTTTTAATTATAGTACCGTAATTNCAAAAAAAGTATAAATTAAATAGTTCAACAAATATATTTGTTTCAAATATCATTAATATGTTTTTTTTTAATTTTTAGTTATAATTTACAGGAATCTGTAAATTATATATATTATTATTTTTAACTTTATTCTAAAACAATAAGAAACAGACCTATCTAACCCCATATTTTTGTAATCAGAAAAAAATAACGAATTTAATAAGCGAATAATCAGTGGTTGTTTCCATTTAAAAAAACGAAAATTGTCACAATATCTCAAAATCTAAATCCGAAAAGATTTTTTTGACTACGTCATCAAATTCTCTGCAAAAAAGTGTCCATATAATGTCTTAATTATAATACTCCACCTATAATAATAACCAAGATAATTGCACTTGCTGGTTTTACGATATTTTCAATTTTGGCCTCTAGCGGAAAAACTAAAGACGGTAGCGCTTTGAGGTTATTGGCATTTGCAGTTTCTCGAAAAACGAGATCATGACATGTAAGCTACTTTTTTTTCTAGCTCTTATAGTTTCCGAGATAGCCTATTCGGACATCGAATTTGAACCATCCTGCCTGTACATGAAACATTTTTGTCAGGTGAATACTTTTTGTGTTTTGACAGTTTCTAATTGTCAATTCAAATTTCTATTTTCAAGTGTTACGGTATTACCAACTGGTACATACCTATTTCCCTACATTGTCAAAATTTATTTTATTTTTGAGAAAAAAAAAAGGATAAAAACGCGAATTACAAAAAATAGCATAAAAAACACGTTTCATAAGTAATTTCCCGTCGATTAAAAACCAATTGTCGATTTTGAAGGGACATGATGATTCTTGAATTATACCTTAAATCGTTTTACTACAAATGTATCATTTATTGAAATTAATTTTTAACCACAATTAAATTATTTACAAAAAAGTAAATGCTTGAAACAAGAAATCTGATTATTGATTTAAAATTAATTCGATTAAAAAAATTAATAATAAAAAAACTACGAATTAGTCGCAGCTTTAATAATAGCAGTGATTAAATCGGGATCTTCTTGTTGTTTTCCCACCCACCACATACAAAGGGCGTTTTCGTAGTTTTGGGCCGTTCTCGTATGGTGTAAAGGATCTTGAGCGTGATGTTGTCCGGAAGACGTGGCCAAAATCGGTCTGTACGGATGTAAACTGACTCCGTTACAACAATCGTTATGAAGAGGTAACTAAAAAAAAATTAATCAATTAAATTAAACTTTAATTTTTGATTTATTTTACTTGTATGTGGGTAGTTGGTGATGTAGATTCTTGAACGTTCCAAACTTGAACTTTTCCGTCAGTGCCTCCGCTCACCAACCAATTTCCACATTGCGAAACATCGATTGTAATCTTCTGGTTGGTGTTTGATTCCCTTGAGAGACAGAATAACGGTCGACCTGGTACCTGGAAAAACAGTTACGTAAGCGGTTTTCATGGCCAATGGAAATTGAAGGAGCTTTTCCTTTGTAATTGTTTGTAGATTTTTATTGTTCTTACTCGTAGATCCCAGCAGATAACTTCCTTGTCCTTTCGTGCTCCGCTGTACAACCGAGTCCCATCCATCGAAAAGGCTAGCGTTGTTATACCCCCTTTATGACCTGATAATTTACAAAGATGACGAAACGTTCCATCGGATTGTGACACCAACTCTATCGTATTTTTCCATGTACCTAAAAATTCATTTCCAATATTATTTTATATTAAATACTAACATTTTCCCAGTCATAAACTTAAAACATTAATAATTCCATAATCAATACGAATAATTGTTATTAAACACTATAGGTATACAACGCGGCGCGGTGGATTTTTGATAGAGAAAGAAATTTATTACATTAATGGTCTGTTTTACTTATAATTAAATTGTGTAATGGATTGAGAATATTATTATAATTACTGGCTACCGCGTTCTAGACCGCTTCCAACCCTTGTTCATTTAAGTGAATGCCATCGCTGTGTAGAAATTTGTATTAAATACATAAGAAAAGAATTACCCTTCCATCATGTTTCTGTTAACAATTGCTTTAATGTCGGTACAATTGATTTGCTTTTCAGCACAAAACCGTCGAATGTAATGATTGATTTCCTATAAAGGCATGGAGAGTATTTATTTATAGCATATGACATAGAAATTATAAAGCCGCGTTGACATGGGTTGTGAATGAACAAGTAGGTATTTGCTTCAGTCGCGAATATGCAGTGCTTGGTGGCAGAAGCATGTCAAGTTTTGTGTGGTGTGATAGCAGACAGGATTTCACAAAATTTGGCAAGAAAAACAAAAAAAAGACGATGGTGGACAAGGAAATGGATACTACAAAGAAGCCATACTAGTTTAATGAAAGACATCTCCAAGTACCCTGAAGATTTTAAAAATTTGCTTAGAATGTCGGAACACCATTTTAATTATTAATTGGAACTCGTTAGCCCCAAAATTCAAAGAAAATCCACTAATATGAGAGAAGCCAAATTGAAACTGCAAATAACACTTCAATATTTAGCTACTGGAGACTCTTTTAAAAGTTTAGAATATTTATTTAGAGTACCCAAATCATCGATAAGTAAATTTATAGAAGAAGTTTTAGATGCAGTGTGTATATAATATCTTACGTTCACAAACTCGAAGTTTTTGCAGGGAGGAATTGTGCAAATTTGTATTCCTTTAGGATTTAAGAAAAGAAGGAAGCGGAAGAGGTGAGAATATTGGGACTTCAGTTGGGATGCGGCATCTTCACTGGTTTTAACAAGAGATAACCAGAACAACTGATCTCTGCAATAGCTGAGGAACTTTTATATATTATTAAGTTCTTACCTGTGTTACAGTAATATCCATGGCTATGATTGGTCAAAGCTTACTTACAATGCACTAACTCGTAAGCTACGTACCTGCTTAAGTTACCTTTTTACCGAAAAGAAGTTAAAAAGGAATTCCCTGTACATTTATTAACATCAAAAATAAGTTTCTGAATATCACTATTTCTTTATTAACTTCGACCGCGCTCCTAAATGATGACGTCGTTGCCTTGGCAAAATATTAACATATACCAACACTTATACACAATATATTATATACACAAAAATATTAACGAAAATATCGAAGCAGATTGATTCTAAAAAGAACCGATAAAATATTCATAAAGCGCGAACTACAGCAAAATATATCAACTAGTGATCTCCGTCCCCAATAGAATAGTTTAAGCACACTTATAAGTTTACTCCTCACCTTTCTCGCAAAGTCTAAAAAATGTGTATGACGCTCAAAAACAACCACGAATAAGTCGGCAACTATTTTCCTGGAATGCACTTATAATACAAAAAATATGGACATATTTTGGACTAAAAGCCCATAAAACTACAAAATGTCTTACCGGCGAGACGATAGCAACAAACTTTTTCCTCTATATTTCCACCTACTTCTAGGGCCCATATCTTCGTTATCTAGAAAGATAGCGAAAAACTAAGCACACGGTTGGAAAGCTTGGTCTTTTCTCCATCGTAAACCGAGTTTTCGTCCGCCGATATGTTGATAAGAGCAAGAAAAAATAAGAAACGTCCCGCTGCATTCAAATTACCTCAAAATTATCAAACTTCACGACCTTATGCAGCCGTTGCCAGATGGAAATTCAACAAATTGTTTACATATTCGGAAAGAGCTGACCCTGGACTATCTTATTTCGAGTTTTCGTCCGGCCAACTTTACCAACCTTTGCATTTTAAGTTATTTAGTTTATCAATTTAAAAAACCCGTATGCAAATGCGTAAGCGAAGTCACACATCGTTGGAAAGAGCAGGAAATTTCCCATAAGCTGAATATAGTTGTAGAGTTTTCTCCCTGTCAAATAGGAAAGTTATTAGGTTTGTTCGAGCAGAGAATTAGGTATTAGTTTGTGATTAATTGCGAACTAGTACGTTATTTGTCACTGCTCGAACAGTAAAAATATGAAAACATTGTATTAAACATTGTATATGGCCATTGTATTACTTCGTCTGATAGGTTGCTTATAAAATACACTGTTCGCTGGATTACAGTTTGTAGGGAACTTATACTAATATTAAATCTATCAGCTACATCTCGGAAAGAAGCCGTCTGATGACCAGCAAACCACAGAAATATTAATATATGTTGTTTTTCTATTAATTTTCCATTTCCTCCGGCTTGATAATTATAATACTGGTTGGCTTTAAATCGATTTGCTAGATCTTCAGCAACTACTCTACTCAAACGAAAATGTTCCATAAATTCTGAGTCGCTATACTGTTGTACTGTTATTTCGAAGTACTCTTCATTTTTTGGCCTTATTCGTACTGGTGTATCAAGTAATTCATCTTCTAGGTCATCATCACTTGACTCAAAATTTACTAAAGGCACATCTTCACTTGATGTGCCTTTAGTGACATGATTATTTATACTCTGATTTATACTAGGTACTTAAGAACGTGTTAACAACAATTACAGATTAATAAAGCGGATATTGTGTTTACAAATATAAATCGATTGTGTCGCCCTCTCGACGTGCTACGTTTATTACCAACAAACTCGCAAAGTATCCACTGCGCATGACAGTACACAATCCGTCAACAATTTTTCGAAAGTCAGCAAATTGTAAAAACTATACCCAACCAGTACCCAACTAATCCTAAATTCTGATCGAACACACGACTGGTAGTCGAAAAAGTCAGAATTCGGGATTTATTTACTGCTCGAACACCGTTACCATACTGCGCATGCGTCTCCCAATTTGCAGATTGGTTTTGCCGCTGCTCGAACAAACCTATTA